CCTAAACCTAAACTAACTAAACTAACTAATTATATATATATATATATATATATATATATATATATATATATATATATATAGATTTCCTTTTACTTTATTTATTTATAAAACTACTCTTTCTTTTATGAAAAGTAGTGATTTTAATGAAGAATTGTGACTTTTTTTATAAAAAAATTGTGACCTTTTCAAAGGCTTGCAACTTTTTCAAATAGTTGTGACCTTTTTTTATAAGGCACTATATATAAATATTTGTTCACACTATCCTTTCTCGTTTATAAATATACGGATTTCATCTCATTTTAAAACAACGAAAATTCCAAACTTTTTATTTTTTTTCTTCTACACAATTAAATATTTAGCTTTTTAACGACGGATAAATTTTAAGTATTATTTTATAAATCGTGTGATATTAAATTCTCATATAAGACACAAATAATTTTACTAATACTTGGTATATTTGTATTAATTGAAATTTTCTTGTTGTCAACCTTTTAGCAATTCTTATACACATATTTTCAAAATTTACTAGTTTCTAAAAGAGTAATTGATTTTATTATTAATCAAAAGTTGTACACAATTAAATTTGTTATTACTTTATACTTCTTAATTTATCTAATTTATTTCAATTTGAGATTGATCACGTTTTAACATTGGTATTGTAAAATTATCTTTGATTTCTTAAGGTGTCTTACATTTCAAATTCAAACTAATCAAATTATCAAATAATTAAATGTAAAACGACATGTCTGGATGTTGACTTATTTTTACAATTAAAAAATGATACTCTATTTGAAATATACAATTTGGTAAAAATCTTATTTCAATTTTTAAATACTTCTAGGATTATTTTAATAAATTTATGTAACAGCTTAGTTAGGTGAAAACATTTTCAAAACTATAATCAGTAACAAATTACCTAAACATTTGTGGTATAATGCAGTGTACATCACTTTATATATGTTTATTAATGTATTATAAAATATACAAAAAAAAAAGGTTATAATGCAGTGTACATCACTTTATAAAAGGTTTTTCTTAATACTAATATTATTTGATATGTTCTTTTTATTTTTGTATTAATTTTTCTTTTTCAAATTGATTT